CCGACCATTATAAGTGGTAATGATGTGCTACTCTACTGTTTTATTTACCGACTACTGTTGGTGTAATGATGTGCTACTCTACTGTTTTATTTACCGACTACTGTTAGTGGTAATGATGTGCTACTCTACTGTTTTATTTACCGACCACTATAAGTGGTAATGAATGATGTGCTACTCTACTGTTTTATTTACCGACTACTGTTAGTGGTAATGATGTGCTACTCTACTGTTTTATTTACCGACCACTATAAGTGGTAATGAATGATGTGCTACTCTACTGTTTTATTTACCGACTACTGTTAGTGTAATGATGTGCTACTCTACTGTTTTATTTACCGACTACTATTAGTGTAATGATGTGCTACTCTACTGTTTTATTTACTGACTGCTGCTAGTGGTAATGATGTGCTTCTGTTTTATTTGGAAGTCGTGGAAATGTTTTTATATTTTTTATTTCAAGATAACGGAATGAAAAGAATACCCTAGCTAGATAATAAAAAAGATGCATTGAAAGAAATTGCCTCAAGTAGAGAACTGATTGCCCACTTCAGAAAGAGACAAATACATTCTAAGAATGATTCTTTGATCATATCCTGAGGAGAAAACTGGAGTACATCATGACAGTGGGAAAAGTTGGAGGGGAAAAGAGGCGGAGTGAGAGAAGATACTGAACACTGTATGGGTATGGAAACTGTTAACATCTTGAAAAGAAATATTCATAAAAACAACAGATTCAATGATATGCCAGAAAAATAAAAGATGGGAACTGGAACGTCATAATGGTCAATATCTGCATTCAAAAACATAATAACTTAATTGAGAATATTTGCATTCACAGAGAAGACATTTGGAGAAGAAAAAAAAGAAGTTATTTTATAGCAGAAGTATAAGGCTCTCCACGAATATCATATGCATAAAGCTAACCCGATCAACAAATGCCCATAAGGGTCAGGTGTGTTGGCCAGATGGTGCAAATATCGCAGCGATGCTGTCTACGAACGGGTACAACACAGTTACATCTTTGGATGAAATGCAGAAGAAGAAGATGTGCATAAAGTAAAATACTGATAAATACTATAGTATTACCAAGACCTGGCAGAGTTAATATTGTTGTTATTGACTTTTACCCCGTTTTTATTAAGCCATTTCATTTGAAGAAAAGTGTAATACTGCAGATACTCTTAAGATTCTTGTGTCAATCAGTACCAGGTCATGTCCACATCTGTCCATATTTATACCCTCATGTGGGTCGAGAGCCCCATAGTGGGAGAATATCAAGAATATACAAATATTCTGCCTATTAAACATGCTCTAACAATTGACTAATTAGGGGATTCTTTGAAATACAGTGCATTTGCACAAGGAACTAGCAGTCTGCACACAAATAAGCCAGATCTGTTGAACGGATGTGCATGTGCAACACTCAAGATCTGGAACAAGACTAAAATCCAGAAGCGATGAACAACTAGAAATTTCCACAGGAGAATATACAGCTGGTGAATGTGAAGAGAAAGAAAATATTTATTATATAATGAAAATATAAGTTGGCTGCCAAAACACCAGAAATGTATTGTAGGGGTATCATGATTGGGGCATGTGTTTAAAAAAAAAATAATCTTCCATTGTCCTCTGTCTTCCTGGTTTATTTAATCTAATCAGTATTTTAAAACTCTTTGAGTCCCAAGGAATCCATTATGTGCTAATCGGTACATGATGCAAACTGGTTTTTAATTTACTACTGGCTAGTATAACAACACAAACAGGCAGTTTTGAATGGTATTTCCTGTGCTTTGTGTTTGAAGTCACACATGTTGACCATTAGGTGTATTCGAAAACATGGTTCTTCTTCTTCTTATCTCTCCATCATCTTCTTGGTCTACCTCGTGGTCTATGACCATTTAACTCCCTTCTATATACAGTTTTTACCCCTCTGTCATTTGACAATCTCTCAAAATGCCCAAAACATTTCAGTCTATTAGCTCTCATGATGCCAGTGATCAGCGGTGATTTAAACAGATTATGAATTTCATTGTTGCTTCTCACTCTCCATTTCCTGCTGTTTGCATCTTTGCTGGGTCCAAAGATTCATCGTAGGACTCTGCTTTAACAAATTTGTAATGAGGCTTCAGCTCTTTTATTTGTGCTCCAAGTTTCAGAGCCATATAAAACGACTGGTCTCATCTACGTTTATAAATGTTGATCTTGGTATTGTGAAATAGAGACTTTGAAAACGTGGTTAAAACATAAAAAGTAGCATGTTTGAGAGCTTTACCGAGTTACCAAGTGAAAACAATATGGCCTTCAGGCAGACTTCGTCATGCCAACAAGATTCATGACTTTAGAGGCCGCAGATTTAAGTAAAACACTTATTTATCAGACTTTTTCAGTTAGTTATTACATGTGTCCTGATGTTGTTTGTTTGTTTTTGTTTTAAAGCCCCACTCCAGCTTTTGCTGTGGGGGGGGGGGGGGGGGGGGAACTCATGTAACCCAACCTATTATTTGAACATTTTTCTGGGACCTATTCACAGGTGGTCCTGATCGGAATGGTGGCACTTTGTGTCACCAGGTGTTTATCGCTAGGTGTGATGGCCTGGTGGGGGTTGAACGTCATCATCTTATCAGATTTATGCGAAGCTAGACCAGGAAAGTTATGAAGTCAACTTCTTTCATTGATTGATAGAGTCAAACTTTGAAGAAGGATAGCTCTGATATATACCTCACGCAAAACCTACAACCATAACAAAGTCAGCTGGTACAAAGAGAATAAATATAAGTGAAAAGGGCAATATTCTACAGTGTCAGTTAAGTCTAGTGCGATTCATTTATTATTATGAATATAGGCTATACAGTTATGGGCAAATTGAGTTATATAATTGGGGGGGGGGGGGGGGGGGGGGGGGGGGGGGGGGGGGGGGGTGGGGTGAAAATACTAATTGTTTTTGGAGATAATTTTTCTTTACAAAAAAAAATGTTGCTTTGTTCTTCTGGTGCTTTTGGATAAATTCTATTGAGTTTTCCTTGACTGCCATGTTGGTAAGTGGAAAAATAATTTTACTAATTTCTCTAAACATACCATCTGTTTATTTACTAATATTTAACTACTAACACAATTTATTTTTGTAGCAGTTTTCTAATATTATTCCTCAACAATCCCTGGTCTCTTTGATGTATAAATTGTATGTTGCACAGCAGTTGAATTAGTATGGTCTGTTTTAATGTGTTACACCTTTGACATTTCAAAATTGCATTACCACTTATTGGGTCTCTGATACTAAACCCCCTAGGACTCAGAGAGTTAATATTATCAGTCCTTTAATGTTGTTGTCAGTAAAATTTACTTGGTATTTTTAAGTCAACCCTTCTTAAAATGGGGACCAGGAAATGTCCTGAGAGGTAAAGGCGCTAAAATAATGTTGACCACATCACCCAGTGAGTTCCAATTGGTTTGTAAAGGCATTTGTCTAACAGTGGGCTATTCAGCTGGTGGCCTACAAGCCGATTCTGGCCCCACTCTCTTAGACAATGTGTTCATTTATGAATCTGTAGTCATTTAAGTGATATATCCAGTAATTTGTTTTTATAAATGAAATTTAACAAATTCTTTGCCATCTTCACAATGAAGGGCGCTGTCGTCGCAGAGCGGCTAGACGTGCGCCGCGGATCGGAAGGTCGTGGGTTCGCTCCCTGGCGGAGCCCGACTTTTCTTAAAAAAAAATGACCTTGGCTCCCAGGTCGACCCAGCCTTGAGTGGGTACCGGGTGCAGTCCCAGGAAATAGAGGTGGCCGGCGTGATGCTGACTACATCACCCATCTTGTGCCGTTGGTCTATAAATATGTAGGTCTAGCCCTATATGCCCTATATGCCTAAAGGCGTGGAAAAGGGTCCTTTACTTTTTTTGTTTTTTTACATCACAACGAAGGTCGACTACAGTGTATAGTTGGCGTCTGTGGCTTAGGTGTTGCGAACGTACTTCATAATGCTGGGGTGTCAAGTTTGATCCCAACTGCAGTCATTTTGGCAGCAGATCGTCTTGCATCAGTTACAACAGTGGTACTGAGAGCTGACTGTTCTGAAGCAGTGGCAAATTACTGAACGTACAATTTTGCCTAGAAAAACCACAACAGCTAATTTTAAAAAATTTTAAAAATAGGGTTGGTTCTGCACCATCGTGTAAAAGATACGCAGCTAACTTTATATTACTGATGTCTTTGATAATATTACATGATGAGGCTTTATCTCTTCCATGGTGTGGCTCTCGTACCATTGCCAGAAAACCATGAGACCTACCACTTTGTTGCAAATTATTACGGTTTCTGAAATTATTATTAATAAACTCTTAGGACAGAAGTTCAATTATTTGTCCTAGATTTCATGATCTTTTAATTGTGAGTGTTTATAATTAAATAATTAGAATTAAAACGTCTGGATAGAAGAATGTAAAATAAATTGAAAAATGACAAAGCATGTATCAAGTTTTACAGAACACAATATGATAAACAGAGGACATTGCTATGACGGGCTTTCCCCAGCAAATGACGAGAAAACAAAACACAACATACAGTAGGAAATGATACTAAAGTAATTAGATTACAAAATTACCATATTTTAGGATATAAGAAGAGTAGGAAATAATCATTTATAAGCATGTTAAATGAACTTATTTGTAACCATAGTAACCACACTAGCTAAGTGGATAGATGCTCACCTGCTGGATGTCAGGTCTTGGTTTGAATCCACATGAAGACAGATTGTTTTCAGAACTTTCCTTCCACATTGATCCATGTTAAAATATGTACTAGGTTATGTCCTAGGAAGTAAAGATGGCTAGCATGATAGTGAAAAAATGTCTCCCAACAAGTACCAATTGGTCTGTAAATACATGGGGCTAGCCCAGAATCCTGCAGGCTTAAAGTGTTCTCTTTTTAAAAAAACAATTCAGTTGTTACTTCTGTGCATTGACTGTTTGATATTTCTTGTCTTTGTCTGCTCAGTCAGACATGGATATCACAGAAATAGTGCAGAAGAAACTAGGACGGGAACTGCACTGCAAACAGGTATTCACATTTTATTTGATAATTTGTGTCACTTATTAATTAAAAAAAATGTCATCCTACATTCAACTTGCTGTAATAAACTTATGCAAGGATATTATAACATTTGAACTGCAGAAGTGATGTTCTCTTCAAATTAATTTTTTTTTCACATTGGTTTTAACTTGACACTGATTTTAATATTGACACCCAGAGACCCAGTCAAACTCATCACATTTAAGAATAAGACCATTATGTTTGGACTGGAAACAACAGACTCTGTAGTCACATGTACAAGACATTCAAGGTTGTGGGTTCAGAACTTTGCCCGTGTGGACATGCACCACAAGATACTGAACTTGTGCTGCGGAGATGCTCTCTACTGATAGTGGGTGGATCCCAAGTCTGGCCCATTCACATTCTGTTAGAAACCAAGCTGTATAGATTAGCCTTTATATAAGCCTGCACCCTTCGCATCTAAAAAAAAAAAAAACTGTCAGGGAGAACAAAAAGAAGAAAAATATGAACACAGGTGTTTTTGTGGTAATTGGTATGGGTTTTATAGTGACACGTTAAAAAATTGCAGCTTTAAACATAGTCTGTTATATTGAAATTAGTTTGTTATTTTGCAATTAGTTTTTATATTGGCACTGGTCTCATATTTACTGTGGTTTGCAGGTGCAGTAATAGTTCCACTATAAACAAGGTAATCAGAACAATGCTTGGTGATTTGTCAGCGTCTGTGGCTTAGGCGTTGCGAACGAGCTTCTTAATGCCGGGTGCCAGGTTCGATCCCAGCTGCAGATGGTTTGTCTTGCATTGGTTTCCACAGTGGTACCGAGCACTGACTGTTCAGAAAGCAATGGCAAACTACTCAACGTAAGATTTGCCTAGAAAAAAATGCTGGAGTAGGTTCTGCAATGTCCTCTAAGGATACACAACTAACTTTTTTGGGGGGGTGAATCTGTCTCGGATTATAGTTTTCAGTGAATCATCATCAGAGATAAACTCACAGGTATTGATCGCCAGTCATACAAGTAAAAGAAAGAAGTAGAGATGACACTGGGCAGAGAATGCACAAGCCCTTGTAATTGATTCTGGTCTGAAATATGTGAGGTCCAGACACTTCCCACTTCAGCCGCAGTACCAGGGTGTAGGAGCAAATATTACAGACACTTCCCACTTCAGCCGCAGTACCAGGGTGTAGGAGCAAATATTGCAGACACTTCCCACTTCAGCCGCAGTACTAGGGTGTAGGAGCAAATATTGCAGACATTTCCCACTTCAGCCGCAGTACCAGGGTGTAGGAGCAAATATTGCAGACATTTCCCACTTCAGCCGCAGTACCAGGGTGTAGGAGCAAATATTGCAGAAAGGGATGGAGCACCTGAGACCAAGCACAATAAATACATGCTGAAGCAACAATGGACTGTTATCCCGTGCTCTTATTGTTGACAACATTTCTGAACATGAGCAGGTCTTGCCAGTCACACTCGCCATCACCATGTCATTCCCATACTTCCCTGTAACACAATAAAACACTTGTATCTGAAGAGATAGAATGATGCCAGCAACAACAGAAGTACCTGCTGTGAAACATGCTGTTTACATATTTCTTTTAATTTTCTAAAGGTGGTGCAGTGTATGAAGATTGATGATAACAAAAGATTGCAAAGGTTTGCTGCTCTTGTCGAAAAAAATGAAGAATATGGGTAAGTGACACTTTATGTTTATCTTCTTCTTCTTCGTATTTACCAGCTCCAATCTCCAGCAGAAAATTGTGGTTATCACTTTTGGGATTTAGTCTTGTTTCAGAACTTGAGTTTTGCATGCACATCTGTTTTACAGATCAGTCTTTTTTTTTTTTTTTGCAGACTGTTCGCTTATTACTTCCCAGGCAGATGACCACTGACTTAGAAGAAAACATCCCAAATTAGTCGCCTCCTGCATCTTGCTTGTTAGGGGAATTGGGTGTATCCCCCCCCCCCCCACCCACAATAGAGCCCTGGAACCCACATGGGGACCTTTATGCTCAGGACTTTCACTCTGGGTGTTGGAGTTTGTTGAGACTGAAATCCTAAAACCTGTGAATACAACGACCATCCTAGCTCTAAACTCAACCAGTTCATCAGTTTTTATCTTCCTCAGTTACCCCAGGTGGTGGTGGTGGGGGGGGGGGGGGGGGTGATCTTCTGTGTGCCCTTTCTAATGTGTTGCATTCATTGATCTTAATTTTTTTTTTTTTTTTTTGAGGTTGTTCTTGATGTGATCTTTCCCTTAACTGGTGTCTGTGGCAGGTACCAGGGCATTCTTATCACATGGCGAAACCATCTCATGTGTTCCCACATTTGATTTATCAGTTCCTTCCACCTCTTCTCCTGATGTACCCATACCCAAGAGTGGGTACAGCGGCTCAGTTTTGGGGGAAAGCCTCCTCCATAAAACAGTGTTGTAAAAGGCGACTAATTGGGAATTTGCTAACATCAGATGTGTTGAGCTGAAAGACATAGATATCACAGCCTAGCTGTAAACCACAACACAACTTGTCACCCACCATTTTTAAGGGCCACATGTAACAAGAAGAAAAATGATATTTCCATTTATTTAATATGTCTTTCTCTTATTCGTTTGATAGTGAGCACGTAACACGCGAGGTTCTCGTTGTCTGAGTTGTTTTATTTTCTCCCCATTATCCTCTGTCTGTAATTCTATTTATGATTCTGTGTCCATGATTTCTTTCCCCATGATTCTCTGTCTATGATTCCATTTATGATTCTGTGTTCATGATTTTTCTCGCCTGATTCTCTGTCTATGATTCCATTTATGATTCTGTGTTCATGATTTCTCTCCCCATGATTCTCTATGATTCTATTTATGATTCTGTGTCCATAATTTCTCTCCCCATGATTCTCTGTCTATGATTCCATTTATGATTCTGTGTCCATAATTTCTCTCCCCATGATTCTCTGTCTGTGATTCCATTTATGATTCTGTGTCCATGATTTCCTATCCATGTTTTTCTGTCCTAAATTCTCTGGCTTTTATTTTCTGTACATCATTTTCTATCTATAATGCACAAGAACAAGCAACACACACCTTTTCTATACGTGCATTTTTCAGAGTGTGTGCATCAGGCCCTGTGAGCTGGTATACATTTCAATATTTACTCCAGAAAATAGAATAACCCTTTATTGGCCTAACATTCAGGCATACCGGTCCTGTGAACAAATAATTGATAGGAATATCATGAGACGATAGTAATTGACTATTGATCTGCAATAAGTAAAGTAAAAAGTAAAGGACCCTTCTCCACGCCTTTAGGGCTAGACCTATATTTTTATAGACCAATCAGCACAAGATGGGTGATGAGGTCAGCATCACGCCGGCCGCCTTTACTTTCCGAGACTGCACCTGGTACCCACTCAAGGCGAGGTCGACCTGGGAGCCAAGGTCATTTTTGAAAAAGGCCAGGCTCTGCCACGGAGCGAACCCAGGACCTTCCGATCTGCGACAAGCGCCTAGTCGCTCCGCCACGGCGACTCCCTTAGTCTGCATTAGACATTACAAATTAATGTCAAGTTGTGACAGAAAGCTCAGCAATAGAAAGGCATGCACAGCCGTGCATGAAATCAGTAAATAATGATAATTGTTATTGACTGAGGTGGGAAAATGCAAATTAAAATAAATTGTAACCAAAGCTCAAAAAAATAAGATGGCAACACAGAAGTGAATGTTTTCATTAGTTCTATTTAGTTAAAATTACAGAAGTTTCTTCTTCATCTTCTTTATTGGGTTTTCCTTATTATGTTTCTTCTTCTTCTTCTGCTCCTCTTATTTTCCTTTCCTTTTTCTTCTTCTCCTTCTCCTGCTGCTTCTTGTTCCCACTGTATGAATGAAATTATGTATGAAAGGAGTGAGGCCAGAATGTTAGATGGGCCTGCATGCACTCGAAAATAAAGTTTGTTTGTTCATTTGTTGTTTGTTCTTCTCCTCATCTTTTTCCTCTTCTTTGTCTTCTTGCATAGTTTCCTTTTGTTTTTCCTATTTTTTTTTTTCTTGTTTAAATAAAAAGAGAAACACTGGAAGAGAATTGAACAGTTTAGAAAGCAATATTACTTTTTTTAATTTCCTGGTTTTCTTTCATAGAAATTCATAGTCAATCTTGTGTGTGTGTCATGTTTGTTGAGCTGTCAGTCACATGTCCTGTACAATTATGGTGATACACACCAAGCGCTGATCACTTGCTGCTCGCCCAGTGTCTTCATATTTAGATTTAGTTTGCTTCCAGTCACATGTCATGTGCAATTGTGATGACATGCACCAAGCACTAATCATTTTTTGCTCCCTCAGTGTGTTCATATTTACTTCAAAACAAGACCCCTGTCAACATTGTGAGGATTTGAGCTTGGAGACTGTGGTTGCTGTAGATGTGGGGCTGAGATGCCAGGCAGGTAAGATGATTGTTTCTGTGGTGTGTACTCATACACTCATCACTTCCCCACTCACGGGATTTAGGGCCCCATTATGGGAAGGAAAAAGAACAGAACAACTGCCCTACAAACAAAAATGATGTAAAAGTTTATCAGTTGGGGGTTTCCTTGGAAGTCAGAGTGCATCTGACTGAGGTGAGGAAGCAACAGCGTGCATACACATAAACTAGATCTGTCAAATGAATGTGCACGCAGAATTCAAGTTCTGGAACAAGACTTCCCAGAAGTGGACAAACAACCAGAACTTGCTGCCAGAGTTTACAGCCTGTGAATGGAAAGAAGAAGACAAGTTACACTCATCATCTCACTGTTGGCCTGCAGATTTAGCTTCAGTCAGTCTTGTTGGATTTTTCTTATCATTAGTATTTTCTCAGCTTTACTCTTTAAAATCTTGTCTACTGTTGTTTCTTTCTAGCTGATCTATTAGAATGCTGCACTATCATTTTGTTTAGACCAAATCATTACTTGGTGGGTGATGTAGACAACATCACACCGACCACCTTTGCTTCCCAGGACATTGCTTGGTGCCCATTTGAGGCTTGGTTCACCGTGTTACAGATTCAAGCCAAGAACTTCCAAGCAAGCAGATGAGTGTCTTGCCACCCCTCCACCACAGCTCACCTAGTTACTATCCCCTGCAACATCCATGCTCTAGAACTCATTAGGTCAATTAAAAATAGAGAGATCTGTAAACACGTTGCTGAGTTTTTAGTTCAGTTGTAAACTAAGAACTAACATTACAGTACATTCCAATAAGCACTCCGTTTTCATCTTCAGCAGCCAGTGGAGATTTCCGATTCCAATGGTGCCAGTAGCATCTTGATTATATGTCTGTCTTGCCTTTCTTTTGAGTATAGAGATGCCAACGAGATCCCCTGGTTACTCCTTGCTGTACGATTCCCTCCAGACCATAGTGATCTGTTTATCCATATTGTTCACTTGCCTCCAAAGTGCCTTGACCACATATTGACACTTGTCATGCATAAATTCACCACTGATTGGTGCAAAACTGGCCAGTCTGCCTGTTCATTTCCCAACATCCTGCATGCCCCGGAAACAATTTACAAAGAACACTAAATAAATGGGATGTCTGAAGCAATTTTTGCAACTCTGCATGGAGCATGATGTTTCCACCTTTCCTAACATTCCTTGTGTGACATTAAAAACATAGATAGGGACATATGAATTATACTTGATAACCAAGAGTATGCTGCAAGAGATGGTAAAAGGATATCTGTGTTGACATTTTCTGAGGGTCTGCGCTGCAGTGGGACAAACAGGAGTATGCTGCAAGAGATATTAAAAAGATGGCTGTGTAGACAAATGTCTACACAGCCATCTTCTAGGGGTGTGCACTGCAATAGGAGATAAAGGGCAGAAGAAGAAACAGGAAGAGATGATTTCATGTTCAAGAGGAAATCTTAAAAACAATGATACATTGTTCTCTTCATTGTTGCTGCTAACTTTGTCCACAAAACCTGTCTAGTAACAAAACATAAGCAGCCTTCATGAACCAGTTGTGACTCACAACACCATCTGCTGAACCATTAGATTTTACTGGTGATCTTTATTAAATGTACAGAATATATTCCTGCCAGCTGTGCCGGGAGTGGGGCATTCATACTGTTGCAGTGTGCTATTTACATTATTGAACAGTTTTATGCAAATGGGATCTGGGCAGAGAATTAGAAGATGCATGACAGAAACAACTGGCTAGATTTGTGTCCCGTTATATATTGATGTTTGCCTTCTTTTACTATGCCTGTCAGAGATGATTGCGTATATGTTCTATTTTTAATAGCCAAATCATTTTTGTTTATTTTTATTATGGTATCCATACAAAGTCATTATATTGTGCTCTCTCTTGCACTTTACTGCTCCTTTTATCACTCCCATATTGTTACTCTTACTCGGCTTTTCTTCCATGTGTGTTGTTAGTTTTCTTTTGCTCTGTGAATAGTTTTTCCTCCATTCTCTTTTTCGTGTGTTAATTCCAAAGAGGGGACTTTTCAGTTATACTTTTACCAGTTGTTCTAAGTGCGTATCCTTTCCTGTATCATCATCTTTTCCTCATCTCATGATTCACAGGAATTCGTTCAGCGTGTGTTTTGGCCACTTTCAGAACATGTAGATTTCTTCTTTTGGAGTTTTTTATGTTTTTAACCTTTTTCAGTGGGGAAGATATTTACAAGCACTTAGGATATAGTTGTTATTTTAAACACATGTGCGCACACACGCACGCACGCATACACATACACACACACACACACACACACACAAAGACCAGATAGGTTGACACAATTTCAGATGGACATGTTTTGGAAGATATAACAGAGCAAAGAAATAATAAAATGAATGAGGGGGAGGGGGGGGGAATGCTTGACGACCAGATCAGATTTTGAAAAATTTTATGAGCAGATGGAGTGGTTACGGAAGCAGCTGCAGGATTGTTGGCAGCAGCAGTACTGATTAGTGAAGATCGTCAGATCACTCCAGACAGATCCATTGGTGTTCTGGTCTCTTCCTCGGTAACTCCACAAGAATAAAATAACTCATCCTTCCAGATGGCATCCTCGTCTCATTCAAAGAGGACATGGATACAGAGTTATGCTTATTGCTGTCATCTTCTATGCAGTATGCAGTGCTAGTAGTAGAAGCTGTAGTAAATGTAGCAGTAGGAGAGGTGCCTGTAATAGTAATAGTTGTAGTAGGAAGATGAGATGACGCAAAAGAAATGAACTGAAATCATGATAGATTTAAGATCCTAGGTATTTGATACAGACACAAATTACAAAATTCATCTTATCATTACTCGTTACATTGGCAGCTGTGCATCTCTTTTAACAACAGTCAAAAGAGCAAATGTTTTAAAAGAGGAAGGGGTCGACAAAGGTAGTTACAAAACAAGCATGGACAGCTATATCAGTGGCTGGAATTAAATTAGATTGATCAGAAAAGTTTATGACTAGGTCAGATCCTCAAATATTTGGTAATGATGATAGTGGTGATCAGGTAAATATGGTCATCTAAATAGATCTGCCAGCCTCTCTAAAATGATATACTACATGACTTGTTGAGAGGAGCAGGAGAAGAAGCAGATCAAGAGAGACCTGGATACAGAATGTGGCTGACTGGGCGGGCCACAAACAGTTAAACATCAAGTTCATTGCACCTGGTCAACAAAGGTGGAGGGAACTGCGTGCTCAGCATAAACTCCAAAGTACGTCTACTAACTGTTCCCTTGAGAAGCTGGTTATATTGTCTCCTATCTCGGCCTCGAAGACAGCATAGACGTGCTTCACCATGCTTTGCGCCCGTGTCACACAATCGTGTTAATGTCAGGGATTCCTCATTATCCACTCGCAAAGTCTGTACAGCGTTGATGATATCTGCTCTGTCCCTGCTTCTTCCCACACGCCTTAGTGCACTGCTTGCCAATTGGTGCACTCGCTTATTTCCCTTTACACCTGCATGACCAGGTGTGTAGATCCAGGTGAGGGAGGTAAGTTAGTACTCATCTTAGCATCGAGGAGAATTAGCTCAGCAACCTGCCCCAAATTCTGAGGATTTTTCCGATGTTAACCTGGATAGAAGGGTGATGGTAGGTAAAGTTTTCGGAAAAAGAGGCAGAAGATGGCCTCCGTGAGTGAGGATATAAGACATTGAGGTGCATTGACTATGAAAACATATGCCAGAGACTGTCTTGCATGCCGTAACAAGAACAGAGTTTTGTAAAGGACCTACTGTTTGATAGTGATGAAGTTAACATTGGTGGCTGGACTATAATTGTATGAGACTAGGTGTTTAGTTCTTTCCCCCACCTATTTGCAAGAACACCTTGAATCTATCAACCTAACTTCACCACCTGTAGACAGCACAAATGGCTACTCTACCATTCGAAAGATCGATGGGAAATAATTGCCTCATTTGCATACATACAGTTTGAATATATCGGTATAAGAGTGGCTACCAACCTTTTGTGTGTGACTTGCAGAGTTTTTTTTTTTAAGAATCAGTTTTAATGGCAGAGCCCCTTAGTATGCCTTACATGTAAGTGGTGTGTTTAGAAGTCATGTTACAAAGTGGAGGAAGGGGGTGTAGATAGTAATGGAATGTAAAATCAAGTGATATCTAACCAGTTGTGCAATGTCTGTGCTGTAAAATTATATTTTAAAAACTTTGACATTTGCCCTTATAGTCAATTTATTCTCAGCCGCACGTAATACTTGTCTCGGAAACTGAAATATTTTGGCCATATCACTGGGCCACGAAAAGAATAACAACAGAAGGTGTGGTATCAGGAAAGAGGTGCAGGGGCCCACTAGCCCAGAAATATGCACATAATATAAGTGGTGCCGTGGGTAGGAGCGTGCACAAGGTGGGAAAGCTGGTGAGAAACTGAGTTTCTTTCAGGCAGGCTATGATGAGAGTGACATTCTGCTAAGGACCTGCTACTTGATCATGATGGCCAACAACAGTGGGATATTATCAAAACCTGGCTATACATAAAAGTTCTTCCAAAATTCAGCAAATCAAACCGTTTGCATTGCAGTAGATTTTACATTGTTGGCTTTTTGTTTTCCTAGTGCTGACACAGAACTCTTAGGAGGTGCACACGGAGCCATAAGGGCTCTGTAGAGCACAGTTAGGGAACTGCTGTAGTATACTGATATTCCAATGTTGTCATAGATAAAAGTGCTGCAGCACAATGCCAGTCATATGGACCGGAAGAACAAAGAGCAGCAGGCCATGATGTTTAACCCAAGGCTGCAGTATTAATATTCATAAGATATTTATATAAGACAGCATATGGTAGCGTATTGGGAAACTTCACAAACAGAATATACAGTGGTGGCCAAAAGTTTAAGACCATCTAGTAAATAATTGATATTTCTATACTGTTACTGAATTTTGCAGCAGCTGCTATATTGTTGTATGAGAGTTCTATCTGGGAATGTGAA